CCCAGTTACTTGGCATTTGGGGCTTTCCTTCCTGGTGACCTTCAGTATCTGGCCTATCCTCCTTAATCTGCTTATGCCTACTATATCAAGAATATATACTGCCCAGCTGGTTTGGCTCCGTGGATAGAGCATCTGATGGCGGATCAAAGGGTCCTGGGTTCAATTTTGATCAAGGGCATGTACCTTGGTTGCAGGCTTCTCCCAGCCGAGGCCCTGGTCCGGGTGCATGCAGGAGGCCACCAATGGATGTGTTTCTCTCACATTGATATTTCTCTCTCTCTTTCCCTCACTCTTCCACTCTTTCTAAAAATCAATGGGAAAATATCCTCTGGTGAGGATTTAAAACACACACACACACACACACACACACACACACACACGTACATACACACACTGAATGGATTATCACTGAAGAAGGAAAAAGATTATTTTTGTTTTGTGCTTCATATTTCTATACTGTTTTAAAACTTTAAAATAATGTCTTTTGGTTCTAGCCAGCATTGGTCAGTGGTGAGAGCATCGACCGGGGTATCGGAGGGTCTTGGGTTTGATTCCCAGTCAAGAGCACATACCTCAGTTGCAGATTCGATCCCTGGCCCTGGTCAGGGTATGTGCTGGAAGTAAAGAATGGTTGTGTCTCCCTGACATTGCTGTTTCTCTCTCTCTGTCTCTCTCTCTTTCTCTCATCCCGTTGCCTCCTTCCACTCTTTATTTTTTTAAATATATTTTTATTGATTTTTTACAGAGAAGAAGGGAGAGGGATATTAGAGTTAGAAACATCAATGAGAGAGAGTCATTGATCAGCTGCCTCTTGCACACCACCTACTGGGGATGTGCCTGCAACCAAGGTACATGCCCTTGACCAGAATCGAACCTGGGACCTTTCAGTCTACAGGCCGACGCTCTATCCACTGAGCCAAACCGGTTTCAGCCCCCTTCCACTCTTTAAGATGTCAGTTGAAAACATATCCTGGGTGAGGATTAACAACAACAAAAAAAGAATGTGTTATACATTAATTTGTTTTTATTTAAATTCTTTTTTTATTTTATTCTTTATTTTTTATATATTTTATTAATTTTCCATAGAGAAGAAGGAAGAGGGATAGAGAGCTAGAAATGTCGATGAGAGAGAAACATCGACCAGCTGCCTCCTGCACACCCCCTGCTGAGGATGTACCTGCAATCAATGTACATGCCCTTTACCGGAATCGAACCTGGGACCTTTCAGTCCGCAGACTGATGCTCCATCCACTGAGCCAAACCGGTTTCGGCAATTCTTTTTTTATTTTAATACTTTTGAAATCAGCTTATGTTTTACAGTTGTTGGTGGGTCATAATTTAATTGGCAGTGTCTTTTTTTCTTTTTCTTCTTAGTGGTATTGCAGTACTATCTATTGATAGTTTACTACAATACAATTCTGACACCACCAGAGTTTGCAAAGACTTCACAAGTTAACGGGCGTAGTCCCCCAAAAGATTACCCTTACTCCACATGCCGGCCACATTTCTAACCTATTGGATACAAGTTAGGAGGTTGCCTTGGTCCCTTCAGGTTCAGTAACTCACTAGAATGACTTTGAATTGTAAGCATTCACTTACAATTACAGTTTTAGTATAAAGGATACAAATCAGGACTCATCCAGCCAAATGAGGAGACACATAAGGGTCCAGAAGGTAGAACTTACTTCCCAACTCCCATGTCACCATCCCAGGACGTTAATGCGTTCATTCACCAGGAAGCTCCATGGAACTTGGGTACAGTTTTTATTGGGTAAACTTGAATGACCATGTGTGTGGAACGCAACTTCCAGCCTTCACTCCTCCCCCAAGACAGGCTGGCTCCTAGTTTCAGCCAAATCCTCTCATCATGTGGTTGGTCTTGCTGGTGACCAGCCCCTATCCTGAGTCATCATATCTCTTAGTATAAACTCAGGGGTGATGCCAGGGGCTCATGAATAAAACACTCGCATTACTCAGGAAATTCCAAGGATTTAGAATCTCCCTCCCAGTTACTAAGGACAAACACTAAGGTTCTTCATTGTACAATAGTGATACATAAAAAATAGCATGTATATAATCCTCACCTGAGGATATGCTTATTGATTTTAGAGAGAGAAAAATATAAAGCATCAATGTAAGAGAGAACATCAATTGGTTGCCTTTCCTATATGCCCCAACCGAGGATTGAACCTGTGACCTAGGTATGTACCCTGACTGGAAATTGAACCCAAAACCTTTTGGTATACGGGACGATACTCCAACCAACTGAACCATACTAGCTAGGACAAAAATAGCGTACTTTTCAAATGATAGTGTATTAGACTTAATGGAATAAAATAATTTAAAACAAGCTTTTAGGTATAAGTTAACATATGAAGTGCTTTGCATTCTCTTCTGTGTAAATTATTTTAACTATGTAAAATAATGTGGTTTACCTAAAAGCAGTTAGGTTTTGTAATGAAACCAATACAGGTGGAAACCTTGATAACCATTATGTACTAATTATGTGACTCTCTGAGCCCCATTTTTCTTTTTTGCAAAATAAGCATAGCCTTGTAAAATGTAAAACACTTCTAGCCTAGCATCAGGCATAGAGTAGACATTCAATGAAGTGTCCTTATTGTTACTGTTTGTCTTATTATTTATAATGCTGATCTTAACATTTGCAGATTTTACCTTTATTGGTGGCCAAGGGATTGATTTTTAATCTGAACTTTATGTCCAGAATGCTGCACTGTTTTGTTAGGGTCATTGATATAAACTTTTGCCTCTCACTATTATTAATAGAATTTTTTTGTTGTTGTTAACCCTCACCTGAGGTTATTTTTCCCATTGATTTCTTAGAGAGAGGGCAGGGAGAGAGATAGATAGAGAGAGAAAAAAATAATTGATGCTAGAGAGACACATTGGTTGCCTCCCACACTCGGCCTGCAACTGAGATATGTGACCTTAACCAAAATCGAACCTGCGACCCTTCAGACCTCAGGCCAACATTTCAATCACTGAGCCAAACTGGCTAGGGCATTGACTAAAAATTGTGAAGTGATCCTTGGAATGAAATTTATGCCTCCCTTAATTATGGTTAATATTTAAAATAACTGTTGGCTACTATTGGCTAAGAACTATAAACCAGTGTTGATAGCATTACTGTATTGGCTGAGAAATAACCATATGCATATATATTCAGATTCACAAGGACATAGTAACTACTAGAAACCTTAGAAGCAAACTAAAACGATTTCAGTAGTCTTACTGTCTTTCTTTAAAGCCAGTTAGAAGTATTTCAGATGCTAAGTGTTGCGATCCTTTCATTGCCAACATTACTCTCTCCTACACTTTTTAAACAATACTGTATTATAATTTTCCCTTGATATGCGAGAGTTTTAACAAAAAGCTAATTACCAGCCTGTTAAACTTTTGGAACTTTGAAACATAAAATTGATCTGTAAGCATCTTACAGCGTTTCCCTCCCCCTTACTCTCTACTTTTTTAAGCAGATGAGTTTAATAAGTAAATGGAATTAGTCCCTCATTTTACTTGTTTTTGCAGTTCTTGAAATAGCTTCTGTTTACTCATTTATGCTAAATTAATAAGAGCAGACGTGGAGATCCTCTTGATTTTTTTTTTTCTCCTACCAGGGAAAATACTTTCTTTAGGTGAATATTATAATACAGAGAGGTTTCAAAATCAGAGACTTAATTAAAATTTTATTTTTTATTGAATTTATTGGGTGACATTGGTTAATAAAACTCTAGGTTTAAGGTGTTTAGTTCTATAATACATCAATCTACAGAGCCTTTTAAGGAAAGGAGATTTGATCATTTAAACATTAGAATTAGGATGTTTCCATATATGACCAAGTATAACCTTTTATATCTCACTAAAGGCCTGGTACATGAAATTCGTGCATGGGGGGGCTGTCCCTCAGCCCAGCTTGCACCCTCTCCAATCTGGGACATCCCTCTCACAATCCAGGACCACTGGCTCCTAACCACTCGCCTGCCTGCCTGCCTGCCTGCTTGATTGTTCCTAACTGCTTTTGCCTGCCAGTCTAATCTCCCCTAATCGCTCCCTTGCTGGTCCGATCACCCCCAACTGCCATCCCCTGCCACAACCCACCTCCTCCACTGGGACCCACCTCCTCCATGAGAGGTGGTGGAGACATCGGTACTGGCCTTTGCGCTGCACAGAACCGCGGGACCCCCCAGGCCTTACTGTGTGGAGCAGCCCCCAGGCCTTGCCTCTGCTGTGGGTGCAGCCATCTTGTGGTGGCCATCTTGTGGTGATGATGGGCGCGAGGACCACATAGGCTTTTATTAGTATAGGTAATTTTGCCGCCTTTAAGTTTGGACCAGAGGTTCTTAATGGACCTTGTAGAGGTGCCTGATACTCTTGGAAGAGGTCTGTGAGGACAAAACTATTTCATAATAATATTAAGACGTTGATTTTCTTTTTTACTTTCAGTCTCTCATGCGTGTATAGAAGAGTTTTCTAGAGGGTAAATAGCATGTTACAACAGTAGATTGAATTTAGAAGCTGATCTGAGAATCTAGCTGTTTTCTGTTTAACTAGCATTTTACAAAAGTGTGAAACAGTGCTGTTCTTTTCTTTAAAGTTGACTTATTTTAGAAAAGATTTTTCAAAGAGTATTATTTATGTTAACATCACTGGTTTATTGTTGCTTAAAAATGAATAAACAAACAAAAAAAATCAGGAAACGAATAAACAATAGTTTGGAAATTCTTAATTTTAGTTTCTAATTCAGTAGATATCAATCCCCATGTAAACAAAAGCTCTTTGGGGTCCTCAGAGACCACAGAGGGATCCTGGGACCAAAACCTTCCAGCACCACTTCCTTAGATTAGTTTTATCACATGATATTAAAGAAAATCTTGATATAGAATTGAACATCTAAAGCATAGTAAAAGATTTAAAGAATGACATGAAGCATTTTTATTATTGTAGTTACTAACTATTTTTCTTTTGAATTGTGCAAGCAGGAGACTGGAACCCACCGAACGGCCTCTTCAGATTGTTTATGATTACTTGTCCAGGCTGGGCTATGACGACCCTGTGCGCATACAGGAGGAGGCCGCCAATCCCGACCTCGGCTGCATGCTTCGGTTTTATGGTGGTAAGAACTTACCAGTGGCTTTGTGAACATGCTGACTGCTTTTCAGGGGATCATTTATGTCTCTCTGTCTGTCTTCAGCTTTTAAAAATAATTTCATTAAAATCTGTTTTTAAGTCAATGAACTAATGTAGTTAAACGACATAAACAAGGAGTGGTGGTTAATGGAAGACTTAGAAGTCTTAGCCAAAAATATCTTTTCTTCCCCTGACCAGTTTGGCTCAGTGGGTAGAGAGTCAGCCTGTGGACTCAAGGGTTCCAGGTTGGAGTCTGATCAAGGCTGTGTATCTTGATTGTGGCACATACCCAGTGGGGAGTATGCAGGATTGATGTTTCTCTCTCATCGATATTTTTAACTCTCTCCCTTCATCTCTGTAAAAAATAAAATATAAAAAAAATTTCTTTTTATTTTTGCTCTTTTAAACAAAAAGTGTTTTTGCTAACTTAATAGAATTATTTTTTACCTTTGTCAGAATCTTGATGAAATCACGCTTTAATATAATTTGAATGAGTAAATTATGTTTGGGCAAGAGGTTTTAAAAACATTATTTTTTAAAAGCCAATATATGTATTTACAAAAGGTAAACATTTATCTATAGGTAAAGTGTAATTGGCTATATAGCAAATTGCCTCAAAATTTAGTGACTTAAAATGATAATGAATATTTAGTAGTTTCTGTGGGTCAGAAATCAGGAGAGATTTAGCTGGATGCTTTTGACATGGGTCCCATGATATTGTAGTCACTGTTGGTTAAAGTGATGTTAACCTGAAGGCTTAAGTTGGACTAGAACCGTGGTCGGCAAACTGTGGCTCGCGAGCCTCATGTGGCTCTTTGGCCCCTTGAGTGTGGCTCTTCCACAAAATACCACGGTCTTGGTGAGTCTGTTTTGTAGAAGTGGTGTTAGAAAAAGTTTAAGTTTAAAAAACTTGGCTCTCAAAAGAAATTTCAATCATTGTACTGTTGATATTTGGCTCTGTGGCTAATGAGTTTGCTGATCACTGAGATAGAAGATTCAAATCTAACAAGGTTCACTCATATGGCTGTTGGTAGAAGGTCTCTGGTTCCTTACCTGGAGAAGGTCTCTGGCTTTTCAAGAGATCTTTGGACCTGTCTTTATAGGTCTACCTGAGTGTCTTTAAGACATGGTAGCTAGCTTCCGCCTGTGATGAGACACACACACAGGCCTCTGTGATTTTTATGATCTTCCCTCATGAGCTGTATTATTTTACCACTTTCTGTATACTGGAAGTGAGTACAAATATAGCCCATACTGTAGAGAAGGGAATCAGGACTCACCGTTTGAGGAGAGGAGTATCAATTTTGGACATACCTTAAAACCATCACAAAAAGTTATGCTTCCCTGTCACCTTGCTTCTTCAAGAAGCTTTTGAATCCAGAGACAACTTACTGTTAACAGAAAGAAAGTTATTTTTGAAGTATTTTCTTTGAAGCAAATAGCTTAGTAATCAGCTTTAAGTATTTCACGTGTAGTCTTTGGTGAATTAATTTTGTTAGAATATAATGTTAACAAGGCCAACGTCAGGAGGGCCTAAGTTCAAACTAGTTAATGTTTCTGTGGTTCCCACATTTTAAAGGGACCTGGTACTCCAAGCAGCCATTATATAAAAGCTAGTTATCAGTTTCACTGAAGAGGGAATGCTGGGGGAAAAGTAAGTGGAATGACTGGCTCAGTGCAAATTCATGATATAAAAAGTTGAAGATAACATATTTTACGAAAGACGAGTGGGTAGCATGATCAGTCATGGAGAGCACATGTATTAACTCCTTTCTTGTGTATGAGGAAATGCAGTCTAGAAGGGAAGGTGTGAGGTAGCATAACTCCCAGCTTGAGTTTTTCTTTCTGTATCATATTCTGTGCACACAATGTTTAAGACAGTTTCTTTTCAAAGAATATAAACACAAACAAAAGAAGCCAGGTGCAAAAGAATCACATGTTTCCATTCATTTAAAGTTCAAAAACAGGCATAACTTAGCCATATGGCTTAGAGATATGTGGCAGTTCTATCTGTCCATCGAAATCTGTTCTTTCTTTCTTCCATAGCAATAGAATTGTGGTTGGGCACATGACTTCCCACTTACACCTCATTTCCCGCCTTTTTTGCAGTTGGGTATGCACATGTGGTTCAGTTTTCTTCACTGGTATGGGAGGAATTGTTGTGTGCCACTTCTATATCTGGTTTGTAAAGCTATTCATACATGCTTCTCCGTGCTCTTATCTTCCTCTGTGGGTTAGAATGCAATCATCACAGCAATATTGAAGCCACCATCAGCCTCAGATTCTTAACAATATTGACCTCTGACAACACATAATTCTCCCCCAACAGAGAATTAAATTTTTGTTGTATTTAAGCCATTATATTCTTTTTGTTACATTAGTTTAACATGCTATAACTATAATATGACATTCACATAAATGGTAAAAATTTAAAGAAAGCAAGGAAATTATTATAAAAGTCAGAAGAGTGACTGACCTCGAGTGGAAGGAAGAGGATGTGATTCCTACAAGTAGAATTTTTGAGTTAAAATGTGTAAGTATTTTTAAATTTTAATAGAATATTCCTAAATTGCACAGGTGGGCAGAGCCAGTGTACACTTTCATCACTAGCAGGACAGTATTCATTTCCTACATCTTTCTTTGCTATTATCAAGTATTATTGTTAAAGTTAATCTTTGCCTCAAATTGTAAAAACATTCTATCTCATGTTAATATTTTAAATTGTAGAACTGATATATTTAAAAACATTTTACTACCGAAACCAGTTTGGCTCAGTGGATAGAGCATCGGCCTGCGGGCCCCAGGTTTGATTCCAGTCAAGGACATGTGCCTTAGTTGGGGGCACACTCCCAGTGGGGGGTGTGCAGGAGGCAGCTGATCGATATTTCTAACTCTCTGTCCCTCTCCCTTCCTCTCTGTAAAAAATAAATAAATAAACAAACAAACAAATAAATAAATAAATAAAACCAAACTAAAACAAAACAAAACATTTTACCACTCCTACAATTATTTTTATTGTACCCATATACTTTTTCTTTAAAAATTTTTAGTTGTAAATATGCAAGTAAAGTATTGATGTAGTCTTATTATCTTTAGTGTTTTAATTTCTTATAATCACCTCCCAAGCCTATTCACTATTTAATAATCACTACTACCAATTTGGTATATACCTGCTCAGAATTTCCTAAGTTTTATTCCTATGAGTATGTATGCTTAGAAATGCATTTTATTTACATAAATGTTATCATTTGGTACTAGAGGCCCAGTGCATGAAATTACACTTGGGGGGGAGGGGATCCTGATCCTCTCACAGTCCGGGAACCCTTGGGGGATGTCTGACTGATGGCTTAGGACCTCTCTGCGCACACTCACTTGTGCGCTGCAGCTCCCGGCTCCCCCACGTCTCCCAGTCTCTGAGTCTCTGGGTGCCTTTCTCTACAGTCCAGACTCCACCCATATGAGCCTGGGTCCACAGGGTTTTGGACAGGGCTGGGATTCAGTGCAGTTGGAACTGGGGTTCAATGGAGTTGGAGGCTTCCCTTCCCCTCCCGCCAGCCTGGCACTTGGCTACCCTTCCTCTCTGCGCGAGCGTCTCCCTACCTCAGCGCTTTGCAGCTCCTGATCTGGTCTGTGAGCCTCTCTCCTTCTTTCTAATTGTAGATTTCCTGCCCAGCCAGCTTTCCTGTGGTTTTGGATGATGTTTGTTCTGTCTTTTAGTTGTTCTTTTGAAATTGTTGTGCGAGGTGGCAGTTTAGGTGCTTACTTAGGTTGTTATCTTGGTTTTCCTCCGATTAGATGGTATTTTAAATTCTGTTCTTCCCTAACCTGCCCACTACTATTTAATTTTGGGGGTTTTCTTCTACCTGCTGCATGTGTTTTCTGTTCAGGATTTATAGGTGCATTCAGTGCGAGAGACCCAGTGGAGTGTGCTTTCTCCATGTTATCAGAATCAGGAAGTACTTCATTTTTATATAGTGCAATTTAACACTTTAAAAAATTAGTTTCTAGAAGCTTTATTGTTTTGTGTTTTTTTTAAGGAAGCTTACTCTTTTTTTGATTTTTTTATTTAATATATTTTATTGATTTTTCACAGAGAGGATGGGAGAGAGATAGAGAGCTAGAAACGTCGATGAGAGAGAAACATCGACCAGCTGCCTCTTGCACACCCCCCACCGGGGATGTGCCCGCAACCAAGGTACATGCCCTTGACCAGAATCGAACCCGGGACCTTTCAGTCCGCAGACCGACGCTCTACCACTGAGCCAAACTGGTTTCGGCTAGAAGCTTTATTGTTTTGCCTTTCAATTTATATTCATTGTCTGGATGACTTCATTTTTTCTTTGTTTATTCTGAGTATTGTTATGATCTGGGCTTATATATATTTATTTCAGCTCATTACAGCCATTCTCTTTGAGGCAGGAGCTCTTTTCAGTTGGCTTCTATGGCCTTCCAGCATGACTCCAGTAGCCTTTGATGGCATTCTGGATTTTCCATTAAGTTCTTACACAACAAAATGTCCTAAGCTATTCTTTACATTGTCTGACTCAGAGTAGGAATAGAACATTTTTAAGGACTTACGGTTCATTTTAATGAAAAATGATATTTAGATGTTATACTATAGGCAGTGGAAATATTCGTTGCTACAGGGTTGCCCTTAATTCTCTTTTTGGATTTTTTTTTTCTTCAATTATAAAAGCAATCCGTTTTCTCTAGAACATTTGAAAGTATAGATATATAAGGATATTAAAATTATCCCTTATTTTCCACTTAGAATTTTGGCTTTTGAAACTAGAAAACTAGTTTTTAAAACGAGAGCTATCAGATATTCCAAATTCTTATTTGAACTTCCTCATTTTGTGTTTTTATTTTTTTATTTTTATCACTTTCAGAAGATCAGAGACTTGAGGCACTCTGGATGTTTATAAACCCTCCAAAATTAATAATAAAACAGCTTGCTTATTGGAGGGATCACTTTATAAATTATATAAATGACTACCCACCATGTTGTACACTGATGTTAATATGAAATAATGTTGAATGTCAACTGTACCTGAAAAATAAAAAAGTATTGAAGATCTTATTTCTAAAATATTCAAATTGACTGAACTTAATTAATTCAAACATATTGAATTCAATGAGAAAAGAAAACACCCCACCAGAATTGAATGTTCTCTTCTGAGAGTGATGATAGATAAATTTAGAAGTTTCCTCTGTAATAAAATATATAGAGAAATAAAACTAAGAAAAAAAAGAGACAAAGAATTATACATCAGTTGCAACATTTGTTTCAATGTAAACTTTAGAAGAGATTGACAAGCAATTTAGAAGCATGATAAACTATAATGAAGTCCCATTTTTATATTTACTAGAACTTGGTAATAAATGATGCTGTTAACCAGGTTGTGAAATATAAAAACAATGTCAGGTTTGGGGTAAATAATGAGGTAAAAATCAAGCAAACAACTTTATTTTATTGAGATGCTAGAGGCCCGGTGCTCGAAATTCGTGTGCTGGGGGGGTGGTTTTCCCTCAGCTCCGCCTGTGCCCTCTGGCAGTCTGGAAGCCCTTGAGGAATGTTCAACTGCTGTGGAAGTGGGAGAGGCTCCTGCCACCACTGCTGCACCCGCCAGCCATGAGCCTGGCTTCTGGCTGAGTGGCACTCCCCCTGTGGCAAGGCACTGATCACCAGGGAGCAGCTCCTGCGGTGAGCATCTGTCCCCAGTAGTCAGAGCGCATCATAGTGACTGGTAGTTTTGCTGTTTGGTCAATTTGCATATTAGCCTTTTATTATATAGGATAGCTCACATATCATAAAATTCACCCTTTAAAAGTATACAGTTCAGTGCTTTTAAATTTTTTTCTTTAATCCTCACCCGTGGATATGTTTTTTATTGATTTTTAGAGAGTGAGGAAGTGAGGGGGAGAGGGAGAGAAACATCAATGAGAAAGAAAAGCAATGATCAGTTGCCTCCCTTATGTATGCTCTCTAAACCAAAATTCATAGTACTCTCATTATATAACTTCAGTGATGGATAACGTTGTAGTACTAAGATCTTATTTTGTAATACTTATATTGCTGGGTTGCTTACCATCTGTAAACAAGGTTACTGAATGTTGACACATAATACTTCCTTTTTCCCTTTTAGTGTTCTTATTCTACTGAAAATGTGGCTTCTAAAGTATTGTTTTCTTTTCAGAGAAACCATGCCAGATGGACCAACTGGATCGAATCCTTCTCTCTGGCATCTATAACGTACGCAAGGGGAAGACCCAGCTGCATAAGTGGGCTGAACGCCTAGTTGTTCTCTGTGGCACCTGCCTCATCGTTTCCTCAGTGAAGGATTGTCAAACTGGAAAGATGCACATTTTGCCTCTGGTCGGGGGAAAGGTAAGACAAAGATGAATTATTCTTCATTTGATCATCTTAGTTTTAAAAAATCATATATGCTTTTTCACATCTTTTAAAAGAAACAATATGAGCATTATTAATGCTTACATCACAAAATTTGTTTTTAAGAATTCTTAGGTTTAAGTGAAAAAAAAAAACAAAAACCTGAGGCTAATTTAAGCATCAACCAGATTTATTTACATTATAGACTTTCTGGGAGGTCTAAAGAATATACAGGCCCCAACTTCTATTGTGGAGTCCTTTGGAAGATACTCATGTCTCCACTGGTAGGCACTAGTAGCACCAAGAGCAGGCAGAAGAATCTAACACTAGAAGCTGCTTTTGGAAATTAGAAGTAGCTGCCATTATCCATCCCCAATATAGATTCTTTCCAGTTTCTACTCTCTCCCCTCTTAGACTAAGGTTCAGATTGTGGGGTGGTTCAAAAGTCTCCATCAAGCAGCCATGGAGACATGTCATTTTTTGCATCTGTACTAGAGAATTGCCCTTCAAAGGCAATCTGAATTTAAGAGAGCCTCCAGACAAAACGGCTGTAAATTCATGCTTTGAAACATCCAATCTGCATGTCTACACAGCAGTGGAGATAAAATATGCATAATAAAATAATAAATATATAAAAAGATATAGCTGGGCTTAAGAATATAGAATAAAAATTTAAGTTGTGAGTAGGTCTGAGTCTGAGGACCTGCTAGGCTCTGGGTTTGAAAGGTTGTGGCCACCCAGAAGTTCAGCTGTTGTAAGTATTTGGGTCTAAAAGTGCTCTGCTCATGATGGGGGACCTGGCACTCTTATTGCTTGAAGCCAGGAGGTGAGTAGCACTCTTTGTTCCTGAAATAAAACTAGAAAAAACACACTAAGAACCAAAAACAAAACAAAACAAAACAAAAAAACCCAACCAAAACTCTGTTAACCAGTCACTGGAACCAAGGCTGATTTCTATCTGTGGTCCCAAAGAAGTGAGAGGGCCCAGTTATATGGCTTGTGATCAGAAAACGATCAAGCTCCAACTGGCTTAATGAATGAATATGTGTAATTCCCGTATCAGCCACGGGGCAGGAACCCAACACTCCCAATATGAGACATGGTTCTGGCCTCGGGAATGAGTGAAGAAAGTAAGTAAAATTTCTTCAGAGGGAGAAAATGAGTGAGGGCAAGGTTGGGGATTAGTGGGGAAGAAACGTGAGACAAAGCAAGAAAGAAAAAAGAAACTTCCATTCAAGTAATTCTTGCCCATTCTCTCTCTTCCCTCGTAATAGAACAGAATTTTGTTTAGGATAGCAGTATGACCAAGATAAAAAACAAAACAAAACTATACCTCCCTTGCATATAGTGGTTGCTAGTAGATATAAACCAAAGTTTTCAGGTGGGGACTTTTGGGAAAACCCTTCAAAATGGACGGACATGAACGGCTTGACCCTTTACCCAACTTTGTCTTCCCAGCACAGTCCCCCAGTGTTGGAGGTAGAGCAGTCATACGGTGATTGAGAATGGCAAGCATTTGTGGAGTGTGATCATTTGGAAAGTAGAAAGCATTTGGGTCTCTGGTAGCATTGTAGATCTGCTGTACCAGTTATGGACTAACTCTGTATCTAATCCACTGTTTTACAACTTAATTAATTGATGTGCTGAAGAATTTCACAGATAAAAATATAAAAGAGCCCTTAAAGGAGGTGCTGGTACACATTAATAGGAGTTCCAGAGAAGAGAGTAGAGGAGAATTGAAAAGCAATAATGGTTGAAACTTTTCTGGAAGTAAAGACAAACTTGTGTGTTCAGATAAAAAATAAATAGTGTACCAAGTAGGATAAATAAAAATAAATCTACACTTAGGCACATTGCAGAACATGAAGGACAAAGAACAAATAATAAAAGCTTCCAGAGAGAATAAGATTAACTACAAGAATTGACAGGCCAATAAATTGTGTGGAAAACTACACAGTTGCTGAAAGAAAATAAATGTCAACCTGCGTTTTATAGCCAGCTGAGTTATCTTATGAGAGTCGAGGCAAAATAGGACATTTTCAGATAAAGACTAATACGCTGACATTCTCACCGGAAGAACTACTGAAGGATATACATCTTTTTTTTTTTTTTTTTTTTAATATATTTTATTGATTTTGTACAGAGAGGAAGGGAGAGAGATAGAGAGCTAGAAACATCGATGAGAGAAAGTCATCGATCAGCTGCATCTTGCACACCCCCCACTGGGGATATGCCCACAACTAAGGTACATGCCCTTGACCAGAATCGAACCCGGGTCCCTTCAGTCCCCAAGCCGACGCTCTATCCATTGAGCCAAACCGGTTTCGGCATGAAGGATATACTTCTAAAAAACAACCCCCTCCTGAAGAAAAAAAATGTAAAAGAAAAAAAAATAAAACAACAAAGGAAAGTAAATTTAAAGGGAAGATATTTGATATAAGAAACAATAAATGCAGAAATTGATAAATGTGGTGGTAAATATATTATAAAAATACTTTAAATTTTTACATTTTAATTAGGAAATTAAATTACCAGAGTGCAAACTACCCTGAACAATATTCAGGATGTGGTGGTGTGATGCAATCTTGGGATAAGAAGATAGAAACACCAAGTAGTTTTCATCGTTACTAGAAAAATTAAGTATGCTTTTAAAAATTTTAAGAATAAATACTAAAACTACAGGGGGAAAAGAGAATATAAAATATCTGTAATGTTAAAAGACAGGGAAAGAGTTGGAAAAAAGCAAAATAAATTGCATGGTAAGTTATCATAAGTTGTAATAGAAATAAATCCAAGTATATCAGTAATCACAATAATTGCAAATATCAGATTATAGTTAAGTCTTACTACTTGCTATTTAAAAGAGACACATAAAACTTAGAAGGTTGAACATGAAATGATGTAAAAATAACACTAGTCAAATAGCAACCAAAATAAAGTTGCTATGGTTATAGTAACATATAAAACATTTACATGAATATCTATATATAACAAAGAACTTGTATCCAGAATATATAAAGAACTTGAACATCACAGTAATAGACAAGTAACCTAGTAAAAAAACAGCTAAAGATTTAAACACACCCTTTACAAAAAAAAAAAAACTGATGGCAGATAAACACATGAAAAGATTCTCAACATCATTAGTTATTAGAGAAGTGCTGATTAAAATCACAGTTAGATACACTAGAATGACTAAAATAAAAAGACTGATGAATACCTAGTTTAGCAAAGATGGGGAGGGCCACCTGGAGGGGCAAACAGGCTTTACTAGAGGACAGGCTGTAAATGGACCACCAGCATCCTTTGGGTCTGAGGAGGGAGTGGTCAGTTGCTGGAATAGCATTCATAAGCCAGGTCAGGGGGTCTGAGAGAAGCCATCGTTGGTTGGGTTGAGGTTGGTGGGGACAATCCAAAGAACACTCAGAAGGACCCATTGAAATTGGCTTTTAAATTCCCTTTAAGATTTGCTGGGCCCAGAGACTGTGGAGTAAAACAGATTTTGACTGCTAGCCTAATCAGAACCTTTGGGCTTTTCGTTTTCCTGTCCCTCCTCTCTTTCCACTTCAACCCTGGGGAGGGAGACAGAAATGGCATGTAGCGCAGCCCCTGGTAAGTAAGGGAGGAGGTGAGTCCACAGAGCAGGCCAGGGCACCCCTTGCAGGCAGGCAGCTACTCCAGTGTGCCCAGGTGTTGAAGGAAGGGTTGGAGCAGTCTAACATCTGAAGTAGAATCTTTGCCTCTTAAGTGCTTATATTTGCTGTTGCTGCTTCTCCCTCAGGTTTCCTCTCTTGCTCCTTGTCCCCCCTTAGGGTCATTCTTCACAGGTTATTTCCTCAAAGAATCCTTCCTTTGACTTCCTAGTCATCATTCAGACCACCCTTCCTATTCCCTCCAAGCCCTTACCCTACTCTATTTTTCTTTATGTTATTCGTTACATATCATGTCATGCTGTATCATGCCACAGTTTTGGTGTTAGAGTGTTTGTCCCCTTTCAAATATAAACTCCATTGAGAGCAGGAAGGGGCTTTGTTGTTTTTTCCCTGTTGTGTCTCCAGCACTCAGAATAACAGAATATATTTATTCAACAAATACTTGTTATCAAATTCAGACTTATTTAAAGAATCATAAATAAATTTACTCATGGTTATGCACTGAGTTCTACTCTTTCCACATACTTGTTAAATAACTATCCTTTTTATAAACAGTTTTATTGAGATATAATTAACATACCATACAATTCTCCCATTTAAAGTCCTGGCTTGGTAGCTCAGCTGGTTAGAGCGTTGTCCTGAAACACCAAGGTTGTGGGTTTGATCCATGTAAGGGCACATACAAGAATCAAGTAATCATTTGGCTGGTGTGGCTCAGTGATTGAGCATTGACCTGTGAATCAGAAGGACACAGTTCGTTTCCCAGTCAGGGTACATGCCCGGATTATGGGCTTGATCCCCAGTAGGGGGCATGCAGGAAGCAGCCTTTTGATGATTCTCTCTCATCATTGATGTTTTGATCTCTCTCCCTCTTCCTTCCTCTCTGAAATCAATAATAATAATAATAATAATAATAATAATAATAATTAATAATAATAATAATAAAATATCATAGCCTTAGCTGGTTTGGCTCAGTGAATAGAGTATCAGCCTGCAGACTGAAGGATCCCAGGTTTAATTCTGGTCAGGGCACAGTTGCGGGCTCAATCCCCCAGTGTGTGTGTGGGGGGTGTAGGAGGCAGCCGATTAATGATTTTCTCTCATTATTGATATTTCTATCTCATTCTCCCTCTCTCTCTCTCTCTGAAATCTATAAAAATACCAAAAAAGTAAACATCAATTATATGTGTGTGTGTGTGTGTATGAATCAACCAATAAAAGCATAACTAAGTGGAACAAATTGATTTCTCTGTCTCTCTCAAATCAATAAATTAAAAATTAAAGTGTACAATTTAATGTCTTTTAATGTACTTGAGTCATACAGCCATTATCACAATCAATTTTCGAATATTTTCATGACTTTGAAAAAGGAAACCAACCCTCATTAGCCATAATTTTCCCAGCCCTAGTCACCTACTCATCTCATTTCTGTCTCTACTGATATGCTGATTCTGGACACTTCAGATAAATGGCATCATACCATGTATGGTTCTTTGTGACTGGTTTCTTTTACTTAGCATAATGTTTTCAAGGTTTATACATGTTGTAATGTATATCAATATTTTATTCCTGTTCATTGCTGAATAAATATTTCACTATGGGTATGCTACATTTTTACACGTTTACCTATTAATGGACATTTAGATTGTTTCCACTTTTATGAATAATGCTGCTATAATTTATGTAGAAGTTTTTGTATGGATGTATGTTTTCAGTTCCCTTGGGTCTATACTTAGATGTGGGATTGCTGGACCATATACTTACTCTATGTTTAATTTTTTGAGGAATTACCGGATTGTTTTCCAAAGTAGTTGAACCATTTTGTATTCTCACCAGCAGTGTATGATGGTTCCAATGTCTTGTTGTATTTGTTACCCAACACTTATTACCTGCCTTTTTTATTTTAGCCATCCTAGTGGATGTAACGTTTTGATTTGTATTTATCTAATAACTAATGACATGGACATCATTTCATGTGTTGATTGGCCATTTCTCTATAGTTTTTGGAGAAATGTTTTTCAGATCCTTTGCCTATTTAAAAAAAATTGAGTTATTATCTTGTTATTGTCCTTTGCTTTTTGACTAGGATTTTTAAAAAATGGATTCTGGTTTTCTTTTCCGTTCTTCTTCAGGTAGAAGAAGTGAAGCGAAGGCAGTACTCCCTGGCATTCAGCTCAGCTGGAGCCCAGGCTCAGACCTATCATGTCAGCTTTGAGACTTTGGCTGAGTACCAGAGATGGCAACGGCAAGCATCCAAGGTGATAAGATGTCAAATGTCATGATGTGGCGAAGCTACACTTAATCCCAAGAGAGTGAATTATAATTCTTACACATTTTATTGTAGGCCTTTTTGAGTATATAATGAATGAAATAAAGGAATTATTGTCAGGTCTTTAACTTATTTATATTTGGATAGTACAGAATGCTTTCAAAAGTATTTTAAGGTGCATTTATCTTTTATGACATTTCTGTGCGGAGGGTAAGGCCTTGAAGGAATGAGATTCAAATGACTTTCCCTGGACTGTAGTCGTTGGTGATGGATGGAATCATTCCTTAACTGATAGCCTAGTTTCCTTGGTGCGTTTACATTCAGCACAGGTTTGTGAACCACTTCAGATTTGAACTTATGATGGGATCCTGCCACAAACCGTTATTCCTGTATGGTGAGGATAATTAGCTTTGCAGCGTAATTTCTACTTTTTTATCCCGTAATGACAAGTGCTCTAAAGTTGTATTGCAATTTCTAAATCCTCCTGTTTGCAGAATTTTAATACATTTTTCTTTGTGGAACTAAGTAATTGCATAAAGGGTTGTCTCAATATAATGACCTGTCATCAGAATATGAATAATTTCTCCAGTGGTATTTTGTTTTGTTTTTTTAAGACCCATTTTTCAGAACCCATGTTTTATTAGCATACTATTGTAGAAATATAAATCTCATTTTTGTTTTACTGGATTTTCTGTACTTATATTGTGTAATAAAATCTGGTTGGTATAAATCTAGTTTCAATTTTTAGCAGCTATTGCATTCTTCTGCCCTGAGAAGTTAATATTTTTTGAGCATCTTTTGAATGCTAAGCAGTGTGCTGTGTGCTTGGTTATTTGATTTTATCTTCACTAGTGCAGATGAAGAAACCGAAGTAGCACAGTCCATGTAGCTATAGAAGGACATTAATATCTCACTGCCTCCCAAAGTTTCGTAGTTAGTTTGAATCATTTTAACTTCTTTCATGAAATGTTACTTTTCCATCTTTATGATTTATATTTTTAATCTTTTGCTTATAGACACTTTATAGCATGCCTTTGTGTATTCCTAGCAGCTTATGGTTTTAGGAAAAGTAAATGTTAACTGGTTTTTATTAATGAATAATTAGATCTCATTACCTTTTTTTTCTCCTCATCTTTTTAACCCGGGCCTTTTTGTGTAAATGCCATTCCATACTGTGCTGGGCGGAGAGCATTCGGTCCTAGCTCAGATGGCTCTTCTCTTTGTCCTGATTCAGGTGGTGTCCCAGCGAATCAGCACTGTCGACCTCTCATGTTACAGCCTTGAGGAGGTTCCTGAGCATCTCTTCTACAGTCAAGATATCACCTACCTCAACTTGCGACATAACTTCATGCAATTAGAAAGGCCAGGGGGCCTTGACACTCTTTACAAGTATGTGGAGAACAGGTTTTCGGACTAACTTATTAAAAATGAATCATAATCAATATTTTAGTGGTTTTACTTAGGAGTGAGTATACTTACCATCATCTATGTATTTTCTATTTTTGAAGAGGAAGTAAAAATTTTTTATACAATTTTCGCCTTTTCCTTTCCCCTTTTACAAAACAGAAAATAGATGCAAAATTTCTGTTACAAAGGCAACATTGAGCTGCCATTCATCTATAATAGATTATCTTGTTGAGTTACTGATGGTGATGTAGCCAGGGTAAATTGAGAGATTCAGTTTATGGAAGTTTTTGAATCAAAAGTATCAAATGCAAATGACTTAAAGGAAGTAAGCCTAATTTAAAGAATTCCACTCCCAGGTTAGGGCTTTTATTTTTTCTTTGTATGTGCTACTGCTGACTCTAGCCTTTTATTAGCTATGAAACTTACCTCTTCTAATAAGGAACTATTTCACTCTTAAAGGACTATAGTATGATCCATATATTTTCCATCTCCTTTGTTAGAATACGTTTTTTAAAATATATTTTATTTTATTTTTTTTACAGAGAGGAAAGGAGAGAGATAGAGAACTAGAAACATCTATCAGCTGCCTTCTGCACACTGCTAATGGAGATGTGCCTGAAACTGAGGTACATGCTCTTGACTGGAATCGAACTTGGGACTCTTTGAGTTTGCAGGCTGACGCTCTATCCACTGAGCCAAACTGGTCAGGGCAAGAATACATTTTCAATTCCCAGTCTCCACTCATGTCACCTCCCTCTTTCCTTTGAAAATGGGTGACAGTGAATAAATATAGTATAAGTCAGTGGTCTGCAAACTGCGGCCACTGGTATAAGTAATTGTCTGGGCTTCTTATGCGGAGGGGAGAAATTGGAAATTAAAGCAATCAAATTACATGGTGATTAAAAAGATAGTACACATTGAAGTGACATTTTACATCCTTAGTAACTGATATTTCTAGAATAAGTTACAGAAAGCTCTATGATTTTTATCTCATTTTACAAAGTTTTTCAAGTTTAAGCCTATGATTAGTAATGAGATCATTGTTTTAATAATATTAATATTTAAAAATAAAAACAAGCTATGATTTTAAGGTATTTAAAAAATAAAAACAACTATAAATGTTAAGGTGCCTTAACATTTCCTTCTGAGTTGCTATGAAAATAGGGTAAATCTAGTTTGAGGGTTGGGTAGGAATTCAGAAGTTAAAGCACCAAGGCCACAATTAGTATTCAATGTCAGTACAATTAGAAATCAAGAGTGAGCCCTGGCCTGTTTCCTCAGTGATTGAGCATCAGCCCTGAAGGATCGTGGGTTCAATTCCTGTCAGCTGCAGGCTTGATTCCGGCTTTAGACGGGGCACACATGAGAGGCAACCAATCGATGTGTCTCTCTCACATTGATGTTTATCTCTCTGTCTTTCCCCCTTCCTTTCATTCTCTCTAAAAAAAAATCAATGGAGCCAAAACCGGTTTGGCTCAATGGATAGAGCGTCGGCTTGGGGACTGAAAGGTCCCAGGTTTGATTCCGGTCAAAGGCATGTACCTTGGTTGCGGGCATATCCCCAGTGGGGGGTGTGCAAGAGGCAGCTGATCGAAGACTCTCTCTCATCGATGTTTCTAACTAGTATCTCTCTTCCTTCCTCTCTGTACAAAATCAATAAAATATATTAAAATAAGTAAATAAATAAATTAAAATAAAAAAATCAATGGAGAAAATATCCTTAGGTGAGGATTAACAAAACAAAAACAGAAATCAAGAGTTGAAAATTTGGAAGAGGAGTATTAGTGTGAGATACAAAGATTCAAATCTGGAAGCAGGTGATACAGAGCTTCATCATGGAGAACACTCCCTCAGCCTTACCATCTTATACCAGCATATAGTGAAGTGTGATACTACAAACGAGAATGACCATAGTGACTTCTGCGGATCCAATTTAGGATAATGCTATCTCTGGCTAAGACACTATAGATACTTTCACTTGTACCAACAAAATAGAAGCACTAGTAATTACTATTTTGTGTTGTATATCAAACCACATTACAGTAAAACTCCATAATATATATTATACATGACTTAAGCTTCATATAAGTGGTCCATTCATTTCAAGTGACTTTTGAACCACTATAATTTCAATATTAAAAAAAGTTGCTTATAAAGGGATTTAGTCTACATGTTAGCTATTCATGTTTCTATGAGTTGATTAATTGTTGCTAGGTCTTTGTTACATTGCATGTAGAAATTTAATAAAGGAAAAGATTTCAAGTATATTGGTATGACTTAATTGTACCAACATAAGCTTGTCTTCAAGATTTTTTACCTCCCATCACTAGACCTGGTTCCCTTGTAGCCTGGACTGAGCATTGGTCATCTTAGCATCTGTGCTGTGCACAGTTTGGCACATAGTGGGAGCTCAGTGAACATTTGTGGAACAAATTCTATGATGAGCATTTAAATAGGTTGCTTTCTCATTCAGTAGTACATATATGTAACTTGTGCTTTTGCTTTTTAGATTTTCTCATCTGAAGGGCCTGAACTTGTCCTATAATAAACTTGGGTTGTTTCCTGTATTGTTGTGTGAGATTTCTACCCTGACTGAGCTAAACCTTTCCTGTAATGGATTTCACGACCTGCCAAGTCAGATTGGCAATCTTCTAAAGTAAGCATCATGACTTTTCACTAGTTTCTTCATGTCCCTGGCAGAGTAAGTGACTGGTCTGGCTTTGGAATGAAGGCAGTATTATGTGCTCTCACAGTGAAATAAATCCTGCATTCTGTCAGCAGCAGTGAATCGCCTACAGCAGTGACTCTAGTGTCCCTCAGTTTCAACAACAGAGGCTCTGGCTATTTTTTATGTTGGAGGGACCATCAATGTCAGTTATGTTTAAGCCATCTTATTAATACATTTCTATGGATACTTAGGACATTTTATCATTTATTGGATTCATAAAAATTAGTGACATAAGTTAGAATCCATAATTCTAGTTCTGCCCATTCCAATTAAAACCTTTCATAAAGTAGACTTGTTTTGCTTCCTTCCTCTAGTCTTCAAACTCTCTGTCTTGATGGCAACTATCTGACTACTTTGCCTGAAGAATTGGGAAATCTGCAACAGCTTTCCTCCCTTGGAATTTCCTTCAACAACTTCAGTCAAATTCCCGAGGTGTATGAGAAACTCACCATGTTAGACAAAGTGGTTATGGCAGGAAATCGACTGGAAGTCCTAAACCTAGGGATGCTGAACAGGATGAGCCATATCAAACACGTAGATTTAAGGTAAGGTCACTTGTTACCATATCTCTGTTAGCTGGACCTCTGATGGACCTTTGGGTTTTATCTTTATAAAGACTTTAAAAAAACACACTAAAACATTAGGCTTTTAAAGCTATAGTTTCAAAGATATAACAAAGCTTCACCTTTCAGTCCATAGCAGAGATTATGAATGAGGTATAAGTGTTCCATGTGATAGAGACTTCAAATTGCCTCTGACAAAGGTTATTTAACTTACCTCCCAGCAACATTTTAGGAGAATTCTGATTGCCTCGCAGCCTTGTCGTTGTTGGATTTTAGCAGTCTTTTTCTTTCTTTCTTGCCAGTGCAGTAGATAGGAATAGTATTTCTTTGTGTTAATCAGTTTTTATGATTGAGGTTGAGTATCTTCTTTTTTTTTATTTTATTTTATATTTTTATTGATTTTTTACAGAGAGAAAGAGAGAGGAATAGAGAGTTAGAAACATCGATGAGAGAGAATCATAGATCAGCTGCCTCTTGCACCCCCCCCACCGGGGATGTGCCCGCAACCAATGTACATGCCCTTGACCGGAATCAAACCTGGGACCTTTCTGTCCGCAGACCGACGCTCTATCCACTGAGCCAAACCAGTTTCGGCTGAGTATCTTCTTAATGCTTATTGATTGGTAGTTTGTGTTTTTCTGTAAACTTGACCACTTTTTCTGTTGAATCATTGGGTTTCTTCTTGATATCCATTTATTATAATTAAAATGTTAAAAGGTTCTACTAATAATTTTTAAGAGTTCTATTTATAGTTATATTTTCCTAAAGGAAGCTGTAAAAGACACATAAGAGTTGTTCTGTCATTTACACTAAGCCTTTGATATCCTTATAAAGATATAGTAATAGAAAAAATGTATTGGAATACAAGAAAATGAGAACAGGCCTGAGTGCCTTAAATAATATACGTGTATAGACGAGAACCAAGAAGCCATTTTCTATAATTTGCCCTTGAACTATTCCATACAGTTACTGATGATTTTCCACTCCATTAATTAATGTAATGTGAATCTTAGCATTAGAGAGAACAGGCAGAGAAGGGAAGGGAGAAAGTGTGGTTGCTTCCTCTTGCTTTTGCCGTGGTCCTCCATGCTTGCTTTGCTACTCACTAACCCAGAAGGTTATGTTCATCTTCTGGTCCTTAGTTCTACTCCTTCGTCCCTAGCTAACTTTATTAGGTATTGGGGTGGAAGTTAACTAACTTTGTGGGGTCATGGTCCTTTTTTCCTTTCTCTTTATTTAACTTGATATGTATTTACCAGTCTGGATTATCTGACTTAAAATAAAGAACTTAAGGTACAGCTATCTGCAAAATACTTTGAGCTTCACTAAGTGTCAGATATTTACTAAATATTTAGACCTTTGCCAGTTTCTAATCTAAGACCTTATGCTGCCTCAGTTCTCGAATCAGAAGGTCTTCTCTTTTGATTGCCTTTAGTCATGTTACAGACGCTTAACTTAGTACCTTGCAAATGAGGCAAGTAGTAAAATTCTTAAGTTGTTTAGGAAGAGAAAGACATCATACCTCTCCTTTTTTTCTTTTGATAGCACATTTGGTAGATTTTATTTCTAATGATTTCCTTATTTTTCAATAAGGATGAACCATTTGAAAACCATGGTAATTGAAAATCTGGAGGGAAATAAATACATCACCCACATGGATTTGCGAGACAACCAGCTGACTGACTTAGATCTTAGCTCCTTCTGTAGCTTGGAGCAGCTGCATTGTGAACGGAACCAGCTGAGGGAGCTGACACTCAGTGGCTTCTCCCTTCGGACTCTCTATGCCAATTCCAACAGTGAGTTCTTTGCCCAGCCGTTTTTTTCCCTTACCCCTCTCATCAGAGCTTTCTAAGAACAATGGCATCTGTAGTGGTCCTCACACTCCCCTCTCACGCTCTCTGTGGAGTAGAATTTGAGGTTCATTGAGACCTAGCTTTGTCTTTTAAGTTTGCTATCAACACTTATGTGGTTGAAATATGCATAAAAAAGTCATTACAAGATGCTTTGAGCATCATTAAGTGCCAAATATTTACTAAATATTTAACCCTTTGCCAACTTCTAACCTAAAACCTTGTGCTGCCTCAGTTCTAGAAAGAGAAACTCCTTGTTTTGATAGCGATTTGCTCCAGGAATATTTTCCAATGTAAAAGACCTCTTATTTGTTGAGGTCATTTTTTAATGGAGAGTTCATCTTTACCAAAGAGTTTATAATTATTTTTTCTGTGTTTAAAGAAGTAAAGGAAAAGATGTTCAGTTTCACTAAGTGTCAGATGAATTAAAATTTAGATAATACCATTTTATACTCATCAAATAAAAAAGATAATGCTAAGTCCTATTGAAGATAGGGACAGGCAGCACTTTATACTGCCAGTCAGTGCGGTTGGTAAAACCGCCTTGGAGAGCAGTGTGCTGGCGTTAGGGAAGTTGAAGACACACATGGCCCTGCTTGGAATATCACCCAGAGACACTCATGTATAGAAGGAGATGTGCACAGAAATGCTTATCACAGCATTGTGCTTGTTATAGTGAAAAAAAATTAAAATATGACTATTAATAGGGAAACAGGAAAACTAAGCCATGACATATTTGTATACTAGAATATTGCACAGCAATGGAAACCAAGGTACTAAAGCTTTGTATGTTAATATGGATAAATCTCAGAAGCACTTTTGAGTTAAAGAAAGGAAGTGCATAATTATATGTACACTAAGATAGTTATTATCAAATTTTAAAACACATAAAAATGTTGTTTTCTTAGCTATAAGTATGCCATAACACTGAAAGAATCATGGGAATGATAAAAATCATATACAGGATGATGTTTACCTGGTATGTGGAGGGTTTCAATTCTTAATTAAAAAAGTAAAGCGCATTAGGCAGAATGTCAAAATTTGTTAAAAGCTACATGATAGATGAAAGGGAGTGTTCATTATTTTGTTGTCTTTTCTCTCTAAAATGCGTTATTAGGATAAAAGATAGTGAAGGAATTCTTTTGATGCCTTTAGATATGTTAAGGAAGCTTCAAATGATAGCTGAGATTAGGTCAGAATAGTGTCACAGCTGATGAGTTTTGTGCTGTTCATTTATCATGGAAATATTATTAGGACCATTTTCTATTCTTTTTTTTAAATATATTTTATTGATTTCTTACAGAGAGGAAGAGAGAGGGATAGAGAGTTAGAAACATCGATGAGAGAGAAACATCGATCAGCTGCCTCTTGCACACCCCCTTCCGGGGATGTGCCCGCAACCAAGGTACATGCCCTTGACTGGAATCGAACCCGGGACCTTTCAGTCCGCAAGTCGACGCTCTATCCACTGAGCCAAACAGGTTTTGGCCATTTTCTATTCTTAATGTATCTAAAGATCTGAATAACTGGCTCCTTTGAAAAAGACCTTATTGACATAGATGCAGTCCTTAGTAACCAAGATTCTATCACAGTACTGTGTTAAATGGTTTTTGTTTTTTTTTTTCGAACTTAGCTATTCTGTTTACAGAATCTTTAAATTCAACAAGCTAGAAGAATTCACATCAACACTTGCAGTTTTGATGCCTCAAGAGTAAAGGACTCAGCTTCAAAAAACAAGTTATCCAAATGATCAGTTACTATAGAAAAAGGCACTCAGCTTCAGTAGTCGTTAGGGATGTGCAAATTGAACACATGCACACATACCAGAGTGACACCACTGCACGCATACCGGAGGGACCTAAGAAGAGAGACTGAAAATACCAATGTCAGTTGTTGGGAGTATAAACTGGTACAACCACCCTGGAAAACTGTTCAGTATATGTACCCCCTGTAGTCAACAGTGCTATCCTAAGCTTATACTCAACATAAAGGCTTATATTAGTCCACAAAAGACATGGAAAAAATGTTCATAGAAGCACTATTTGTAGTCACCCCAACTCGAAAAGACTTAAGTGCCCTAACTCTAAAGTGAATAAACAAATTGAGGTAGTCATATAAAAATTTCTTACTGCCAGGAGAATGAATGAACTACACCCATATGCAGTAATATGAACCGATTTCACAAGTGAATGAGGAGTGAATGGAGCCAGATCAAAAACTTTACACACTGTATGTAATTTATGTAAATAAGCAGAAGTAGCCTGTGGTATAGGGAGTGAGGGTGGCGAGGGGCGGAGACTGGAAGGTGGATGAGAGGAAGCTCCTGGGAGCTAGTAACGGGCACTGGCTACATTGTGTGTTCTGTGTGTAAAAGTATAGCTATTTGTACAGGTAGGATTGTTGCCCTTTTCTATATCTATGTGTACTGTCGTTAAAAGTTAAAATATTGCTAGTGAAAATCCCATTATCAATTTAAAAAAAATTAAGTAGTTACTATTAACAACTGTCTGGTCTGGTGTGAGTCCAGTACAGTACACATTGTCCTTCATTCGTTGTATTTGATCTTCAAATTGAGACCACACCATTCATGTGAGTTACCCAGTGGCTTTTGTCTTTAGTTCATGTCAGTAGGTGGCCTGTTTTATTTCTGATGATGTCACTTTTTCCTTATTTACTCTCAGTTACTTTCGTTACTGACACCCATTCATTTCTCAATTAGGGCTGACAGCAGTGAATGTCTATCCAGTACCCAGTCTTCTCACGTCTCTAGAACTTTCCAGGTGAGTGTTTCTTGAGGGTGGTGCTTGTTTGATTCCTACTATTTAAAAGATGTATGTGGATGATTTGGTAGTTTTGAGGTACAAAGAAATCTAAATACTTCTGAAGTCCCTCTCCTTCCTTCCATATGTATCACCATTCCTTAGGCCTATATCACCTCTTGTCTGGAATTCTGTAACAGCTTCCTGATTAGTCTTCCTTTTACTGATATAATCATCTCAACCAGACCTCCATGTAGCCACAGAGTGACCTTTTTAAAGGACAAAACTGACATTGTACTTACTTACTAATCCTTCAGTGATCTCCTGTATACCTGCGGGGTAAAGTTGCAGTCTTCTGGACATGATTTCGTTTTCTCCAGCCTGTATCTTACCACTCTCTGCTCCGTTTCCCCAAACTGCTTATTATTAATATTATTCCCACATATGTCATGCCATTTCTTTCCTTGCCTTTGTGTTCTCACTCATGCTGTCCTCTATTTCTTAGAATGTCCTCCTCTCTTCAGGTCATTGTCCAACGTTCTTCAAATTCTAACCCAGATGCCCTATTTCTTAGGAGCTTGCCTTGGTCCATTCCAGAAAAGTGCTTCCTTCACTGAGCCATTGTAGCCGTATCAGCATTTCTTTTACAGCCCTCACTTCATTCTGCCTCATCGTATCAATTGAACAATCAGTGGATATGTTGAAGCCTAGAGAGGCTAAGTAATACCTGAAAATAAAAATATTTTTACTAGGTGTCTGCTCAGTGCTCTGCTAAACATTTGCATTCACATTTTAAATGTTTTGAAGACTCCCACTAGTTATCTTGTGCCCCTACTTCCTCACTTTTATTCATTTTGTTCATTTCCCCCAAAATTTGCTCTTCTTCTTCCCCAGTTATTACCTATCGTCATCTTCAAAGGTTTATTTAAAATGCCACTTCTTCCAATAAGTCTTTCCGCATCTCTCCTTCAACCATCCCATCACATGTATGCTTTCCTACTGCTGAGAGCCTTTGTATCTTTTTTGAGCATGAAGTTTAATTGACCCAGGATTTTACGTGTTTGGGTGCTTGTCTCTGTCCGCCTCTCTCTCAGTGACATTCATTGAGCACCTAGTGCGTTCCAGAAGTGGACCAAGAATGCTTATGTATAATGCTCCTGCCCTCAGGGGGCTCATGGGCCAGTTAACAGGTATATTAAAGACGACTGAAATGAGTTCCACTCGTCATTGTAATTGATGACTTGTGTTGATTTATTTTTGATAGAAACCAACTGGAATGTGTCCCTGACTGGGCCTGTGAAGCAAAGAAGATAGAAATATTAGATGTGAGCTATAATCTTCTGACAGAGGTTCCTATGAGGTAAGTGTGTATTAATATATATATATATATATATATATATATATATATATACACACATATATATATGTGTGTATATATATATGTATATGTATACACACACACACACACACATACACACACATACACACACACACACACACATATATATATAGTATGTGTATAATGATATCTGTGTGTGTAAGCATGTATTTAATTACTCTCCTAGATTGGGGTTACTTTGGATAGGTACTTCCATTTATTTGTTCAATAATTATTCAGTACCTGCTGAGGGCAGGGCAGTATGAAGTTCTGTGAATGATGTAGTAACAGCTAATGCATAGGCTGGCCTGTAAGAAACTCATTAATAAGCAGGTAGTTGAGGGGACTTGTGCACATCTAACTGATAAAACGTAATGGGTTGCAGGCATAGGTTGGTTCTGTGATACTTATAATAGATACTCTTTATAGGATGAGTTACTGTGAGCTGGGCAAAGGGCTGAGAACTTTACTTTTATTTAATCCTTTGACAGCCTTATTATATAGGTGCTGTTATCCTCATCTTGTAGATTTGGAAACTAAGGCTTGGAGTGGCTTGGTAACTTGCCCAAGGTCACACTTAACTAGGAAGTAATGAATGCTGACATTGCAATGTTGTCATTTTTTTTTTTTTTTTTAATCCTTACCTGAGGAGTGAGGATATTTTTTCCATTGATTTTTAGAGAGAGTGGAGGGGCAGGGAGAGAGAGAGAAATAACAATGTGAAAGAGACACATTGATTGATTGCTTCCCACACGTGCCCTGAACTTGCCACCCAGGTATGTAAGCCCTCCCCAACCCCCGCCAGACCAAGAACCAAGCCCGAGACCCTCCGGTGTGCAGGCTGACCCTGTATAAATAAAATGTTGTAGAAATTCATAACTTTGAATAAAATGTTTTAGAAATTCATAACTCTGAATAATGATAAGATACAAGATGGTGGGATTTCTACATGTAGAGGGGAGAAAGAGAGAGGTACTTGGGAGGGGGTAAATGGTATATTCATAAGCATTGAATATGATTCTGCTCTTTACATATGATGTAAAATGTGTACTTACCATCTAGTGGAGTGTTTTAAATTAAACTAGAGGCTTTTGTAGTATAGTAGCCATGAGCACAACCTTGGAATCAGGCCTTAGTTCAAATCCTGACTGCCATTGACTACATTTAATGTGAAATATTATATTCAGCACATCAGTCACTATTTCTTCTGAACCTCATAATTAAGTGGCCTAGCACATTTTAAGCACAGAATAGTGGCTTTGTTATAATGAATTTTGTTATTAATTTATTATAGTTACCTATATTAATATTAATAGATTAACTCAATTCTTGGTGCTATCTAGACTTAAATCTCAGTTGATTTATTCTAGAAATTTTTTGTTTAGATCTCTTCTGTGCTGGTTGCTTTCATTAGCTCCGCTTTTCCCAGGGTGACCGTAATGATTTGCTGATGAGTGGTGTGTAAACATATGGCCATGGCTGCTTTCTTGGCTCAGGCACTTGTCAGGGATTATACTGTCTAGAAGAGTATGTTTCTATTCGTTTACTCATTTAATTAAATAGCCCAGGGCAGACTCAGGAAGAAAGATTTAAGTGAGTTTTTTGTTTCTTTGTACTGTCCCTCCTCCCCGCCCACTTCCAGAATTCTTAGTAGCTTGAGTCTTCGGAAACTGATGGTGGGACACAATCACGTGCAGAACCTCCCAGCGCTGGTGGAGCACATCCCCCTGGAGGTGCTGGATATTCAGCATAACCTGCTCACCAGGCTGCCGGACACCCTCTTCTCCAAGGCCTTAAAGTAAGTACCATTGACATTCTTTAGAAGAGCAGAATCATTTGACTGTGCTGACTTGTCATTGGGGTGACCTTTGGAACTAGATTTATAGTTTACCTCATAGCACAGCTAGGGGTGGAGACATTTGGACTTTCTATGAAATAAAATAGGACACTGTTTTATGAGGTGGTAATCTTCAACTCTAGAGTTGAATTAACTATCAAATACGTAAGAAGTTTTGGTGTTGTAAACAGTTTCAAACAGGTGGGGAAGGTTCAGGCTTTCATCTCAGAAAATGAATACAGTTATGACTTTTAAAGAGAAATTGCAGTGCTCTCATGCCACTTTCTTGACAATTTTCAGCTTTCTCATCAGGAGAAAAGGACATACCACTAAAATTGTTTTTGCTTCTAGCTTTACCAACCTATCATTGAGTTTTATTCTTTATTTGCATCACTCTTTTACTGCCTACTTTGAAAACTGCATTTGAAGGTAACACTGTTTCAGAAGGTGTTGCTTGCTTTCTCATTGTAAATTAGCAATAAGTAATATGTTTTCTTACTTTAACACCCATAATCAGGTATGCCTAACTTGTATGTCACTCACCTTTCAATGAAGATTTGTTTTTATAGCCTTCTGCAATATGGAGAAGGCAATATTATCTTCACTTTAGAAATGGAGAAAATAGAGATAAGCAGTAGTCATTTAACATAGGCTATAGCAGTGATTTTCAACTGGTGTGCTGCAAGAATGTTTAAAACATGTAATACCAGACTATTTAGTCAGGGGCACTGACCTCTTTTCCTTTAGATTGTCACATAAAATAATGACAACAGCCAAAACAAGCCCTCTGGTGTGAGTGAATCAAAATTATACTTTTTTTTTTTGTCAGATCAGCAAGAAATATATCTTTTTTGGTGTGCATAGAATTTCAAGTAGTTTTTATGTGCCATGAGATGCAAAGGTTGAAAATTGCTGGCTACAGGAAACATACAAAAGGCAGTTAGCTTACAATTGTCTGGTTTGTTCTTCGTGTGGCAGCTTATACATCTCAGTACACTTGGTTGGACTATCCAAAAAATAAAATCTTTGGAAATTCTAAAAAATGCTTGTATATAAAACAGAAAGAAAAACAATGTTTGTATATATAAAACATATTGTAAGTATAATTGGTATTTCCCTTTCGGAGCTCAGTTTGGCAATATATATGAAAATTTTGAAGATATGTGTATCTTTTGACCTCACCAGTTTTGCTTCTGGGAATGTAGTATAAAGAAATAATTGGATAAGGATACAAAGGTGCTCATTATAATGTCTTTAACAGCAAACAGTTGGAAACAGCATTATGCCCATTATTAGGGGATTTCAAGGGGCTTGGCTAAATAAATACGATGATGTTGAAATCTGACAAAATTTTTTCCCGAAGAGTGTCTTCACAGTTTGGATATTTGTGAACATGATTCTCAACAGCACTCTTTCGGGGGTGACATATAGTAAAGATAAAGCTAAGGTAGATTTCAGGCCACTACAGAAGCCCGGGACTACTACCAAGCCTGTCTATTTCCTGTCTATTTGGCGTGCATGAGTTGAGTAAAAGAAACTTCAATTGTTAAAATCAATTAGAGAAAACTGCCTGGAGGAAGTTTCACTTGTCATGCGTTTTGGAGCATGTAATGGCAGGGTGCCCTACTGAGGTGGCATGATTTTTTTCTACCTAAGGCAACAGATAACCATGCAGGAGATGATGTGTGTGTTCTGTCAGCCTCAGGTACTTGAATGCATCCGCAAATAGTCTGGAGTCCTTGCCACCTGCTTCTGCAGGGGAGGAGAGCCTGAGTGCCCTGCAGCTGCTCTATCTGACCAACAATCTCCTGACAGATCAGTGTGTGCCCGTCCTGGTCGGGCACCCACACCTGCGAATCTTGCATCTTGCAAACAACCAGCTACAGACTTTTCCCGCAAGGTAAACAAATGCACACTTTGGTCATTTCAGACAAATAACAGGCATTCTGCATTTGTTAGACTACATTACCACGATCTCACTAGGTACTCTTGCTTTATGTGGAGTGATTTATGGATTCTACTAGTTGAATGGGAAAGTGTTTGTACCTGGTTGTTACGTATCAGAAACTGGAGAAGTTGTGGTTAAAATGTGTTAAATTCTTAGTTGTATTTAGTAGATAATGAATGGTCTGAGAATTTGCAACCTAGAAAAGTACAGGCTTATGAAATAAATTAAAGAAATTCTGGAGACAATTTATTTCTGTTTTCATGTCAGCACTGCTTCATAAAAGTACTGTTGAGTTCATTAATTTATTCATTATGTTCAGTTGATCCTTGAATAAGCTGGGTGCTAGTGGGAACCAACCCCCATACAATCGATAATCCACATGTGGCTTTTCACTCTACAGTTGGCCCTTTACATATGTGGATTCAACTAACTACGGATACAAAACAATATGTTTGATCTGCAGCTGGTAGACCATGACTGGGAATGTGAAAATGCTGTTTCCCATCCACAGTTGGTTGAATCCAGGGGTGGGAAATCTGTAGCATAAAGAGCCAACTGTATTTATTGGGGGGGGGGGGGAATCAGTGTATAAGTGGATGAGCACAATTCAAACCCATTTTGTTCAGGGTCAGCTGTGTATATTGAATGCCTACTGTATGTCAAGTACTAAGTAAGTACTAGGGAAGCAGTGTCGATTAAGTTACAGCCTCTGTCCTCAAGTTGGGGACATTGGTAAGTATATAGGCAATTGCAGTGCAGCATAATAAATACAGGATGTTAAAGGTATATGTAGGTAGTTCATTGCATTGCACAGAGCCTGGGGGTGTTGGCCTTCCAGGAGGAAGAGATGAATAATAGCCAGGCTTCTTCACTTATAAGAAGACATTCTTTTGCACTATTTTCAAAATCAAGCACAGGTCTGGGCACTCCATAAGAGACTGGCTGAGAGGCACTCTCACTGTGTTTCTGTCCACAAGTCAGAAAGTAGTAGCAGATCCGAGCAGGGAGGTGTATGAGAGAACAGCATGAGATGTAGACATGGAACACTTAAAACGTATTAAGTAAAAAAACACATCAAGTTGTAAAATATAATGTAGCATCCTTTTTTAATTTAAAATTTAGTTTCGTGCATGACAAAGGACAAGAATACCCTCCACCGTAAAGTCATCAGAGTTTTCTGGTAGTATGATTATTTTTCCACCTCTGTTTTCCTTGTCCCTTTTTCCAATTTTTTTTCCAGTGAATATATATTACTATTAATTAGCAGTAATTAAATAGCAGTTTTAATTTACTGAACTTAATTATTAAAAAGTATTTATGGCTTTCCTAGCAATACAAATTATGGTATGTCATATTAGAGCAACTTGTAATAATCTAGATAAAGATGCTAGGCCATCTCAAGGTATTTTGGTTATTGTGGAGAAAGCTTTGCTCAATCCAGCAGAACAGTGAAGCACATTGCATTAACATTCTTAGCAGAGCGCTGTATGGATAATAACGACTCAAGCCGAAACCGGTTTGGCTCAGCGGTAGAGCATCGGTCTGCGGACTGAAAGGTCCCAGTCAAGGGCATGTACGTTGGTTGCGGGCACATCCCTGGTAGGGGGTGTGCAAGAGGCAGCTGGTCGATGTTTCTCTCTCATCGACGTTTCTAGCTCTCTATCTTTCTCCCTTCCTCTCTGTGAAAAATCAATTATATATATATACATATATATATATATATATATATATATATATATGTATATATATGTATATATATATAGATAGATAGATAGATATAGATATAGATATATATAATAATGACTCAATATAATGCTTAGTGAAGATAGACTGTGTTATGTATAGGTAATGGTAGATATTTAAAACTGAGAAGACTCTTAATGATTATTTAGTACAGCTTCTTTTATAGCTGAGGATATTGATATAAATCGACATTAACTTATGCAGTATTTTGCAACTAGTTAGTGGTGAAATCTACCAACCCTAGGCCGATGCTGATTCAGCCACTCCCTGTAAGTCACATAATAGGAAACTGTTAATGCACAAGATCCAACAGCTGTCAGAGAAGCCAGGGCAGCTCCAGCCCCTGCAAACACACGCTGAGGTTTGGCAGCAGCAGTCACCTTGGGGAGCCCTTCCCTTTCTGGGATCTCTGATCGTTTCATTACGGCCAGGCATCTGGCAGTGGGCCACACCTCTGCACTCTGGCTGCTGTAACACTTGCTTGGCAGCTTCTTTAGGGTGCAGTGTGGAATATTGGTGTTTCTTTTTCAGCAAACTAAATAAATTGGAACAATTGGAGGAACTGAACCTAAGTGGCAACAAGCTTAAAACCATTCCCACGACCATAGCGAACTGCAAAAGGCTCCACACCCTTGTCGCACACTCCAACAACATCAGCATTTTCCCAGAAATACTGCAGTTGCCTCAGATTCAGGTACTTTCACGTGCTGGAATGCTGTCCCTCTGGGGGGAGTGGAAGGAGAGTGAATGAGGTTGACCTCATAAGGAAGAAGGACATGGCAATTAGGGATCACAGAATATTCAATGGATTCCTGGGAAAAAATCAAGTTCCCTTGGAAGACATAGTAGTAGACTGAATGTTAGAGAGTTAAGAATTAACTACCTATGATGTATTTTCTTTTAATTTTTTCCATTCCCCCCCCTCAGTTTGTAGACTTAAGTTGTAATGACTTGACAGAAATCCTGATCCCAGAGGCCCTGCCTGCTACCTTACAGGACCTTGACCTGACTGGAAATACAAACCTGGTTCTGGAACACAAGACACTGGACACATTTAGGTAAGAAAACTTTTGAAAATGAATCCCCATGTGCTCTTAGTCCCACCAGCCATGTGGGGGCTTCTCAAGTGGTTTAGGTGGCACAGAGCACATTACATTACAACATGTAAGAGACAGTACAAGCTCATTCATTGTACCAAGACTTAATTGTATCAAAATACTTAAAATAAGTAACATTTGGCTGGAATGTTGAAGTCTTTGTTGTGCCTAGTTTTCATAGAGAGAACAGTGTCAATTGTAAAATATTTGGCCCCTTTTTCTTCCTCCTACCCTTTTCCTTTCTCCACCTTGGCCAGGGGGTCAGCACACTACTTTCAAGTGAGTCCCTCTGGAAGTGAATCTTAGTCTGTCAACAGACTATTTTATAAAAGTATATAGTATTGTTAGTATAGTTTTTGTAACATACAGAAGTATTTACAGTTTAATCTTCCCTTCTTCCACTTCCCATAGCCATATCACAACCCTGAAAATTGACCAGAAACCTTTGCCAACCACGGATCCTACAGTTACATCAGCTTTTTGGAGCCATGGACTGGCTGAGATGGCAGGGCAGAGGAACAAGTGAGTATCTTGGCCATGGAGGCTGAGAAAGAAGAAAGGTAGCCGCTGACATCTGGGAACTGATCTGATACTAAACCTAGGACATATTCTCTTGTTGGATGTAAACAAGTCACAGAATATCAGCATCAGATAATATCCCTTTGAGACCATGATCCAGTGGGACAACAACAAGATGAATGTGCAGACCCCAAAATACCAAATGCTCTCTCATCCCTACCATAAAATGGGCGACTGCTACCATGTTTTCCTGAAAATAAGACATCCTCCGAAAATAAGACCTACTTACAGGTTTCCTTCTGAGTGAAATATAAGGCATGCCCCCCAAAATAAACCGTACCCCCCCCCCCCCCCGGCTAAACATGAGAGATTTGGTCCACTGATTCTGAAAGAAATGGAGTCACAAGAAATTCACCAGGAAATTCAGGAATTGGATTGTTATGATGATGTTTCAGAAGATGATGACATGATTGTCATTGAATAAATGAGTAAATTCTTGATACTGTAGGATTCACAGTTTGTCTGGTTTGTGTTGACAACTACCGTACTACCGTACCGTATATAGGTAATAAATTTCCTTTAGTTTCATTTAAAATAAATGTGTGCCATATTCTTTTTCATGGAAAAATAAGATATCCCCTGAAAATAAGACTTAGCGCATCTTTGGGAGCAAAAATTAATATAAGACACTGTCTTATTTTCGGGAAAACAGTACTTTTTGTACCAATTACAGCTTTATCCTTATGCTAATCTTCTCCTATAGATAAGATTGGAGATACCCAACCTTCGAATGGCCCTGCTTTCTGGCAGCCCCCACTCTAGTATGATCATCGCTTCATTAGACCTTCTCCAAAGTGACCCAGCCAAAGCCCACACCCTGTGCTAGGTCTGACCTACACTCCCCAGAGTTCCATGATGTGCATTCTGCCTTGCTAAGGGCATAATACACTCAACTCATCCAACCACAGGCGTGCACCTGGGGCCTCTGGTTGAAGGGCGTTAACAATACTAGTCTTTGATAACTACTAAGAGAAAACATTCATCTTTCCAGCTTTGGCAGCATTGCAAAGTTAAAATGTGTACAGCTTCTGAATGTGGCTGGATTCCCGTTAGTCATCAGCTCTTTCAAATGCTGCCTAATTATGTAACACTTTTCATTTGTAGGTTAGGATTTACTCTTGTTCTTCTCCACCCTCAATTAACACTTAGTTTTTTAAAGAAGGCTCCCCAGAGAATAATCCTTTTACCAACAACTTTCTTTGGTGTTTGTCTTTCTGGGGTAGGCTGTGTGTATCTTCGCTAGCTGTGGATACCTTTGCGGAGGGCGTGGGAGCCGTGTACGGCATGTTCGATGGGGACCGGAATGAGGAGCTCCCCCGCCTCCTGCAGTGCACGGTGGCAGACGTGTTTCTGGAGGAGGTCCAGCACTCGTCCAGTGACACCGTTTCCATGGCTCACACCTTCTTGGTATCTCACAGGTAAGCAGGTGGGTTGAATAATCCCTGACTCAGTTCTGCTTTTGGAAAATCTCACTAAAGCCAGAAGGCCAGAGTCTAAATTACAGGTACAGAATCAAGATAAGATCTTGCTCCTCCTGCCCTGGCTGTTCTCTCCAAATCAGCATAGAATGTGGGGATTTTGGTGCTCTAAAGAGCCTGTGGAAACATCTTTGTTTTCTCTGTTGAACCCAAAGGCTCCTGAAGATCTATCTGGAAAGCCCAGAAACGATGTGGGAAAGGTTGTGTGTGTATATGTGCATTTGGGGGAAGGAGCATGATAAGCTTTCATAAGATTCTCCAAGGAGTCAATGACCTACAGCACATGAAGCACTGGTCAGATTCATGCGTTTAGAATACTTATTGGGATTTACCAACTAATCTTCTAAGCCAATGGTCAGCAAACTGTGGCTCGTGAGCCTTGGTTTGCCACTCCGTTAACTAATGTTTGCGGACCACTGACCTAGATTCTCGATTCCAATAATTACAGGCTGTTGTTGTTCCTTGTGATTAAGCCCTATCCCAGTGGTCTGCAAACTCATTAGTGAACAGAGCGAGCTAGGGATGGATGCCATATGTATGGAAGAAATACAGGGGAAATTATGATCCTTCCTTCAAGGAACTTACAACCTAATTGTGCGGTTCTCAATGTGTTGTTCTAGGACAACAGCCTCAGCAGCTTCAACATCATTGGAAACTTGTTAGAAATGCAGGTTGTTAGGCTAGCTCCTTATCTACTGAGTCAAATTCTGGGGGTGGGCCCAGCAATCTCTGTTTTTACAAACCCTAAGTGATTTGGATGCTCTAAGGTTGAAACCACTGAGTTAGGCCATTGTGGTCAATGATTAGACACAATAGAAGGAGCAGAGAAAGATGTACCTTACTCTCTCCTTTGACCTCACCCGTGGTGTAAAATTCCTTTTCTCAGTGAGCTAAGCACAGAAGGCAGAACTCTGTTCACCATTATCACCTATAGCCAGAGACTGCCTTCAGGTGGATAAGGGTGGGGCTGGTTCAGCCACATGGCAGGAAAACAAGGAAACTGTGGCCATGAAGGACTGCCACTTTCTTCTTACTCTAGCTACCAGGTCTTCATTTTCTCTCTAAACAGGAAATTAGGGATGGCTGGTCAGAAGCTGGGCTCCTCTGCTCTTCTTTGTTATATCCGCCCTGACATTGCCGACTCAACAAGTAGTTTTAGCTTGACGGTGGCCAACGTGGGCACGTGCCAAGCAGTCCTGTGTCGAGGTGGGAAACCAGTGCCCCTCTCTAAAGTCTTCAGCCTGGAACAGGATGCGGACGAGGCCCACAGAGTGAAGGACCAAAAAGCCATCATAACAGAGGTGAGTCTCGCTCTCCACCAGTCACTCCTCCCCAAATCTAGTGAATGTGTTTTCGTAATGGCAGTAGAGGCCCACTTCCTCCTGTCAAGCCTTGTAAACTGTATCCAGTCAGATAATAGTCCTAGAAAAAAGCTAATGAGCAGCTAATGACCAGCCAGAAGAAAAGGCAAATTAATTAGAAGGAAAAATCTGAATTTGATGCTTCAGGTCAGCTATTTTCAGTCTTTTTCATCTCATAGCATACATAAACTGATTACTAAAATTCTGTAGCAAACCAAAAAATATTCTTTTTCCTGATCTGAAAAAAAAAAGTATAATTTTGATTCATTCACACCAGATAGCTATTGTTATATTGGCTGTTGTGTTGTCATTTTTTAATTTGACAACCTAAGGGAAAAGAGGTCAGTGCCCTTGACTAAATAGTAAGGTATTGCATGTTTTAAAAATTGTGTCAGCACACCTGCTGAAAATCACTGCTTAGATGTATAGCTAGCAGGTAAAATGAAGGTAAACGTTCCCTTTGGTTAATTTCCAAACAGAAGAGAAACACTCCTATAGTCTGACATCCTATTCTGAAATGCAAAGTTTCAAAATAATTTTTTCTGTTCTTAATACAGTTGTATTTGGCTTATATGCTCTGGTTATATTTTCTTTTTTAAATAATGAAGCACCAGTATCTCCACAATTTTATAGCTTTTCTTCTGTTTCAGAAATTAGCATAGCATTTTTGCTTTCAAAGAGACTTTAGCAATTCATGTGAGCATTGTTTACTGCAAAGCAGAATTCTGTTCAGATCTTTTGCCCATTTTTAATTGAATTGTTTGTTTCTTTATGGCTGAACTTTAAGAACTCTGAATTTTGGATACAAGTCCTTATCAGATATGTGTTTTGTAAATACTTTCTCCCTGTCTGTGGCTTGTCTTCTCATTTTTTAAATCACTGTCTTTTGCAGAGAAGTTTTTAATTTTAATGAAGTCCCACTTATTTTTCTTTCATGGTTCATGTTTTGGTGTTGTATCTAAAAACTTATTGCCAAACCCAAGGTCACCTAGATTTTTTTTCTGTCCTATCTTTTGGAAGTTTTGGAAGTTCAGATTGGTTTTGAATTAATTTTTGGAAAGGTGAAAGCTCTATGTCTAGATTATTTTTCTTTCTTTTTTGCATGTGAATGTCCAGTCGTTCCAGCAGCATTGGTTGAATAGACTGCCCTTTCTCCATGGAGTTGCCTTTACTCTTTGTCAAAGATCAGTGGGCTGTGTTTGTGGGTTCATTTCTGGGCTTTTTGTTCTGTCAGAATTTTATCAGGACTATCCGTATTAGATTTTATCCAAGGAAGCAACCAAAAAAAAATATATCACAATGTGGTTGATACAATGAAGATTCTGGAACTCTGAGGCATTATAGTCTTAGAAAGGTCTTTAAAAGTGAAAACAAAAATGAAAGATAAAAGAACGTTTTGTATGATTATATTCTTACAGAATTTAGTAATGTTTCAATTTGAGGGGTAAAGAGGATTCTAGACAAGTAGGAAATATTTTTATAAACGTTATATTTATTTTTAAAATATATTTTATTGATTTTTACAGAGAGGAAGGGAGAGGGATAGAGTTAGAAACATCGATGAGAGAGAAACATCGACCAGCTGCCTCCTTCACACCCCTTACTGGGGATGTGCCCACAACCAAGGTTCATGCCTTGACCGGAATTGAACCTGGGACCTTTCAGTCCACAGGCCGATGCTCTATCCACTAAGCCAAACCAGTTTTGACTATAAACGTTATTTTAAACACAGATATTGTTTGCTTATTTGCTAAGCGCTGTGCTTTCATTATTTTGCTTAATCTTCATAATAACAGCCATGAAAGAATTGCTTTTATTTCCATTTCACAGTTGAGGAAAGTAAAATTTAGTGTTTGTGATAAGTTCTGGTAAATAGAGAACCAGGATTTTCACCCAGATAATGACTGCATCTATGAAATAAATTTATTGATGGCTTTAGAGGTTTTGCTTGGTTTTATCTTGAAAAGAAATAAGTATCAAGTATCTGGCAGATGAACATCCCCATCTGTTACTAAGGTTTTTCCTTTAAGTTTGGAATTATACCAATTGTGACTTGACCTGTTACTCATTTTTGGTTATAATCCTTACAGATTAGGTACATTTACTGCAGATTTCAGACTTTCCTTTTTTTAGGCTACATAATTTTGGAGATTACTTAATGCTTTAGTCACAAAGATTGCCTTAGTCATTTAATATCTTTCTGAATCTTTTCGGTCCTAACTGTGCCTTTGAATGAGAAATCATTTTTAGTGACCCATCTGAGTTTTGGCCTCTCTGAGAACACTAGTGATGGAGAATTAATGACAGTTCTGCTCCTTATTTTTCTAACAGACGTCTTTCTATTTAAGGACATGCTGAGGCCTTTACTTCATGTTAAAGCACATATCTTTTGAGATTGAGGTACCTTTTAGCCACTTGATTTTAATTGGTTTTAACTATAGTCCTCTGAATATTCAGTATAACCATCTGATATTTTGTTCTTTTAGGATTTTATACATTTAGTTTTGTAAGGCCACTTAAAATACACAGATCTTCGGAAAAACCATAATACATATGTCAGTTCTGTTTTTTGTTTGTTTGTTTTCTTGTAGAGCCGTAAGCATTGTGAAATAGAAAGATATAAATTGTATCTCATTGTTCCGTGTTTTTCAAAATTTGCATTCTGCTGCCTCCAGGATAACAAAGTGAATGGGGTAACCTGCTGCACCCGGATGCTGGGCTGTACATATCTCTACCCTTGGATCCTCCCCAAGCCCTACATCTCCTCCACTACACTTACCATTCAGGACGAGTTGTTGATCCTGGGAAACAAAGCATTGTGGGAACACTTGTCATACACAGAAGCTGTCAGCGCAGTGCGTCATGTGCAGGACCCCTTAGCAGCTGCCAAGAAGCTGTGCACACTAGCGCAGAGCTACGGTTGCCGGGACAATGTGGGGGCAGTAGTGGTTTACTTGAACATGGGTGAGGAAGGCTGCACTTGCGAGGTGAATGGGCTCGGCCTGCCGGGTCCCGGGGGATTTGCTCCAACCACCGCCACCAAGGACCCGCTCAAGCCAACCACTCCTTCCTCCAGCAGCGGGATCGCCTCTGAGTTCAGCAGCGAGATGTCCACGTCGGAGGTGAGCAGCGAGGTGGGGTCCACCGCTTCTGATGAGCACAACACCGCCGGCCCGGACGCCAGCTTGCTGCCCCGGCCAGAGAGGCGCTGCAGCCTCCACCCCGCCCCCGCCTCCGCGGTGTTCCAGCGCCAGCCGTCTTGTGCGACTTTCTCGAGTAACCAGTCTGACAATGGCCTGGACAGTGACGATGACCAGCCCGTCGAGGGGGTCATAACCAACGGCAGCAAAGTAGAGGTGGAAGTGGATATCCACTGCTGTAGGGGGAGGGAGAGCTCGCCCACGCTCCCAAAGACTTCTCACACCCCGTGTCCCGAGGAACAGGGGAGAGGATTGTGTTTTGGGATCCGCAGACAGAACAGTGTGAACAGTGGCATACTTCTGCCGGTGAGCAAGGACAGGATGGAGCTACAGAAGTCTCCCTCCACCTCCTGTCTCTACGGGAAGAAACTCTCCAATGGCTCGGTTGTGCCCCTCGAAGACAGCCTGAACCTCATTGAAGTGGCCACAGAAGCACCCAAGAAGAAAACTGGCTATTTTGCTGCCCCCACGCAGCTGGAGCCGGAGGATCAGTTTGTTTTACCTCGTGACCTGGAAGAAGAAGTGAAGGAGCAAATGAAGCAACACCAGGAAAGCAGGCCCGAGCCTGAGCTGATTGAAGAGGATCGGACCGAGCTCCCCGAGGAGTTTGACACGGCACTGTAATCCTCCCCAGCAGCCCAGCGTTCGGGAAGGCTGTGTGGGGTCGGGCTGGGGATCCTTCCAGAGGCACGTTGCCTCTGCATTTCTAAACCATAGATGAAGGAGGTAGAACTTGGAGCCAAAAATGGTGAGAGCTATCAGGGTCTCACTCCGGATAAGTTAGTAAACACCATCAGTGTTAAGTTTCACTTTTAACCTGCACTGGGATTCCCAGAGTTACTGGGAAGAAAGCAGATGTTGCTCTGTTATCAGTCCTGCCACCTGCCATTAACCCTTTCTCTCCTAGGATAATTTTGAGAATTTGCCTGCCTGGGTAGGAAAGGGACTATTTCTGTGGAGGAAAATAACTGAAGATGATTCCCTTTACTGATTGCTGCTGATGGATCTCTATGACAGAGGAATCACCTTATGTCTCAACCTAACTGGTGGGATGTGATGTGTCTAGTCACATGACTTTTCATTCTTCTCTACGAGAATACAGCCTATCAAAATGACGTTTATTGGAAATGTAGAACCAATCAAACAGATAATTTATGTATGTAATGTAACGAGAGCACTTTCCATTGACTGTGAACTTTTTATTTTCGAATCTGCACTCGAGCCAATCTTCTTAGAGGCAGCCCAGCACCGTGGTCTCCGTAGGTAGAATGAGCATCAGGTGTTGGAGCCTTGCATGAGGGTACTAGGCAGGGTCCTGGGAAATTGATTTAATTGTTGGATGTCAGACTGTGAAAGCTCCTGAGAAGCTTGGGGGAATAGAATCTTTTTTGGGGGGGGGGGGGGGGCGGGGGCGGTGAAGATGGGAAAGAAGTGAAGACTAAGGCTACTTCCCCAAAATGACAAAAAAGAGAGAAAAGCTCCTTGATGAATGTGACACCTGCTAGGAGTTCCCCAGCAGGTCTAGAGAGAGGCCTTTGGGGGTTGGCCTCTTTTCATAACACCTGATGGAGTGGCAGTCAGCCTCCTGGTGTGTAGGGCCAAGGCTGGTGCTGCTCACATCCAGGTAACCTTGAGTATTTAATGGCAGATGTCCCTGAACAGACAGGCTGAATGAGAACAGAAGGATGGATGGAGCTCAGGTGTTAGGTTCCCTCTCTTACTCTAGAGCAAGGGATGGTTTTCTAAAATGTTGCGAGTGAGTGGAGAGTTCACCTCTTTAGTGTTTAACAGAGTACTGAAAACTGCTTATCCACGTCACATGGTTTGAGAATACTAGGATCAATTACTAATATAACAGAGAATTTAAAAATCCTAAGCTTACAGAAAATGTGATTTACTATATTTTTTTGCACATTCCACATAACCCTAGCAAAATGCAGTCCCTTCCATATTTCTGTTCTGTTGCCTTTTCCATTAGATTTACTTAGGAAAATGAATTTCTATTTATTCCTACAAAATTTTGACACTGCTTGATTTTACCCATGGGGAATGTGCTTTGAGTGATTTCTAGAATACTTTCACAATTAAAAAGAAAGCAGAGTGGAACCATTTTTAATTTTGTTTCATAAGAAATAATGTTAAAAATAGGGTTGATATATACATAAGTAGGGTCCTGTCCACAAATGGTTGGTCATCATGTATCTTCACCTTTTCAGAGGCCCCACACCCACATGTGTGTTTTGGTGGGGTACATACACTCTTGGAGGATTCCATACCACTTCAATGACTGTCTAAGTTCAACTCCTCAAGAGTCTGAATTTGGGTCCCCAAATTTTCAGGAATACTTGACTTCCCTGTGTCAAACTACTGGTCAGCTACTGCAGAATTTTAGAACTCAGGTCTTGATTTGAAGTGGGGAACATAGTAGTTCATACAAAGTTTAGGTGCTGTTAGAAAGATGGGAACAATAGTGTGTTGCTGCCTTATTTTTATATAGGAAAATGAAAAAAAAAAATGAAGGGAAAATGAAAATGAAGGAAACACCCAAGATAATAGTGATGGGTGATATAAAACATCTTTCTACCCAGACAGCAGAAGCTCTGAGTTATAGAATAGTGGTGTTGTCTAGAAGAGAAAGTTGTTTTGGGAATATACCACTTTAATAGTATAGTCTCTTAAAAATTGTCCTTTATCTGTGAACCTTCTTCTTGTCTTCTTTGTTACCCACCCTTTATGGAACCATCACAAAACCCACTTCTGAAATGACTTTTCCAGAAGTTAAATGTACTTACTTTTCAGTCAGAAGAACTCTGAAGTTCCAGATGTTCTGTGTAGTAGATTTATTTTCAGGAAATACTAGGTTGTGTTGGATATCTTTAATATAGGCTATACCAAAACTATTTATTCTTCTTTGTAACTTCCTTTAGTTCCCTTTTCTCTGTGATTGCTCTGTATTAACACAGAGGGTAAAAAGGCCATAGCCCATTACCAAAAATATACAGAATCTCCTGACCTGTGAGGTCGTTTGCAGTCATTGTGTGAACTGATTAGACTGTTCGGTGGTGAAAGACAGTAATCTGTCTCCAGGTGAATGTAACCTCCTTCCTAGGACTTTACCCAGAGGATGTGTTCTCCAGGTGGGCAGAGAACCATGGATCTCTAGTCCAGAGATCCTGGCCTCTGCATGATTCTCAGGTCTCTGTGTGTACCTCCCATTGAATACAAAAAATTTAAGAGAATTTCTGAAAATATCATCACTCCTGCCGATGGGAGCAGTTCAGCAGTCCTATGGAAGAAAGAAAAATACACTAGTCTTGGTCTTGGCAGCCATGGTATTCTTCCTTTTATCCAAATGAATTGGGAATATATGCGAACATTTGAATGCTGGTATATCAAAGCTACCGTGCTACCAATAGAGTCATTGAATTACCACTCCTAATGCAAGTGAAGGTTTTATTTACTACTGTGAGTGTGAGTGTGTGTGTGTGCGCGTGTGCAATACACTTATGAGTTCCTTTTCCTGGTGTATAGAAGAGCCAATACGAGCAGCTTGGTAATCATTGGGTGCTATTATAATTGTTTGTAGCGAGTGCTATTTTTCAGGAGATGGAGCCAGTTAGTTAGGTTTGGCTGATCTACTGAATATCATGTGATGCTCTTCTTTCCATGTAGACCTTCAGTAAAAGCAGGTACTTGGAAGCCACAGGCTCACCTCTCTCTACTCAATAATTATTAATGAAGAGACCTCCATAAGGAGGGAGCACTTGGCTATTATCAATAAATGTACTAATTATTAAATAGTCTCCAAGCCATTCAGTGATGTCTGCAGCATCACGATAGAACTGTCTTGTGTCACTTTTTACTTCCTTCTGGGTGGGGCCTTTTAGACTCCCCAATCATGGAGGCAAGTTAATCTTTCTCTCCAGTTAGTGACTTTTGCCCCATAGCTGGGTAAGCACTTCCTAGATGGAGAAAAGCAGCTACAGTAAATCCTGCTCTGTTTCCCTCATTTGGTGATCATTCAAATCACACATAAGCTCCTTGTACTCTTAAATTTCATGCACTTCTCCCAGATGCTATAGGGTTTCCTCTTGCTGTTGCCAATGGACGTCATCCAGACAGTGAGTTCCTATCTTACGGTTTTGTGCAATCATTGTCGTATTGTAGTCCTAAGACTCATTATAGTGTATTTTTGATATTTTTGAAATGTGTTAAATTTTTTAATTCAATAATATGAGCCAGAGCATGTTGCAGCAAATCTATTATTTGTAAAAAAAAATAAATAACAATAACAACAATAATAAATAAAATGAAATGGAACATCTTTTTTCATGGCTTTGTTTTAAAATGAAATACCTGTTATTTTATAAATCATTTTAGCATGCAACTGTAATTTTCTCTAACTTGTATGTAGAATTAGTTTCCTAACCAAAAACACCATTAGAATTTTTCTGCTTTTTCTTGCTTTAGGGGAAGATAACAAATGAAACTACATTCCATGACACACTATGAAGCTATGAGTTAAGGGCAGAATAAATATTTTTGATCATCTTTTAAGCTGAGATAGCAATAAAGTTTTTTTTATGCTAAGAAACATTATATTCTGACTTGTTTTCTATGTTTTTTTGTTTCTAATCCCAAAGACAGGAAACATGGCCCTTATTTACATGCAGGTGATTAGCTGACTGGAGGAAACTCAATTGTAAACAATCTACAGCTCCTCTTAAATCATAGAGCTGATGGTGATAGAGAAGCCAAGTGCATAATCTGGCCATCATATTTAGTATAATGTATAATAATAATGGCTTTGGTATTAGAACTTCAGACATACCTGGTAGGTTTGGGCCCATAAAATACTTATAATCTAGGTTAGCCTCTAAGTTGTTCCTCTCTCCTCCCCTCATTGACTATCTCCCAAATATCTGGATTTGGAGCAAGATTATAACTACCTCTCGCTCCAGATGAAGTCCAAATTAAAGCCATCAATTTCCTTCTCATTAGCAGAGCAGACATTTTAAAAAGTTGGTTCACTATTCATTGAGCACCTTCAACGCACTGGGGTCAACCACCATCACCATCGTCTACTTCAGTACCTCAGTTCCATCAGACGCACACCTCGCTACTCCACGGCAGCAGAAGTGAAATTGTCTGAGTGTGTTCTCTGCTTCGTGTGACATCAGTTCCCCACCCAGTACACCGAAGGCCACGAGAGTACATTAGTCACAACACGTTCCAGGGTGTGATTCACTGGTCCTGAGTTTTGCCTCTAGAAGGTTTGAATTTAGACAAGTTAACCTCTCTCCAAGGCTTCTTTCTCTCTCTCAATTGTTAAATGGAAATCGTATCTCTCAAGTTGTGAGCTTAAATGAGATGATGCAAAATGCTACCTTAGCTCTGTAGTGCATCTGCCACCATGAGCAGTCAGCGGAATGTCAGCTACTGGGTAAATCATGTAACCTTGAACCTTGGTGTCTCATTAAAAATGTGAATGATGGCCGAAACCGGTTTGGCTCAGTGGATAGAGCGTCGGTCTGAGGACTCAAGGGTCCCAGGTTCGATTCCAGTTAAGGGCATGTGCATTGGTTGTGGGAACATCCCCAGTGGGGAGTGTGCAGGAGACAGCTGCTTGATGTCTCTCTCTCATCAACATTTCTGGCTCTCTGTCCCTCTCCCTCTCTGTAAAAAATCAATAAAAATATATTTTTTAAAAAATGTGAAGGATGAATCTTGACCTGCCTCTGCCAAGTGGTAGGAAGTTAGATGTGGTTGGAAAAGGCAGACATGGGGTGCTGTGATCACAGTGAACGATGGGCTCCAGTCCCTTAGGAGGAGTTGAATTTGGGGAGCAGTGTTGTAGCTGGGCCTGCACACAACATTGGTGTCTGACAGGCCCAAGTCCTCATTTTATCAAGCACCACTCAGATATGGGACATGTTAGGGAACCTGGGCATACATGCTCGGGGAGAATAGTATTTATAGTTATTTTTTTGAGGGGTGGGCTGATTTTTGCTATAAACTTTTCGCTGCTCTGTGAAAACGGGCTGAGGATGACAGAGTAGAAGTGCCTCTTGGTGGCACAGATGTTTGTGTGTTAACCTCACAACGTAGATTCCAGTTGATTGTTTTCCTCTAGACTTTACTTTTTGTAAAAGTATAATCTAAGTAATCTCCCATTTCCGGAAGAGGTTCTGTTTTGATCCTTCGCTGGGATCATTTCTGTAAGAATTAGCCATTGAGAGAATTTGAGAGGAACAAGAAAAGGCAGTATGTTATAGGGAGGAGAGTCAGTGAACACGCAGGGGGGAAAACATGCTCGAGGAAAATGGCTTTGACTTAATTTTCTAGCAGTCATTTTGGTAGATGTTGAAACAGGAT